TTAGTTAGTGTGGTGCTCTGCCCAGAAGAGACCTTGTGATGTGATTATGGGAATGATGGAAAGATACCCCTTCTCAATCTAAGATTCATGAAAATCCTTGCCAATCAAAATGCCCCCATCTGCTCTTCTCACAACGCAGAGTGTGAGTAGTTTGAGCCATTTCAGTGGACACTACTTTTGTTCTGAGTTTGTACATCTTATTCTTTGGTTTACATTCCACCTAAGTGGCTTGGGTGTTGACTGAAGCCCTCGGTGAATGATGACATCAGAGGATCTCTGCAAAAAAACCTGCTATTTGTGGTCACACTTGCTCCAAGTTGTAACATTTTAAGTATGCCCCATAAATTTAAGAAAAAGTCAAAGAAAACTTTAAAAATCCTAGACTTTCCAAAAATAAACCAGTTGACAAAAGTTATATTTACACAAACTCATTTTGAAAGAAATCGATTGTATACACCTTCAGAAACAGAATGAGTTGTCCAATGGCACAACCAAAATGAAGGGAATAGTGTAGACTTTAGTTTGCAGGAAACAGTCCATACTTCCTGGAATGCTGGCCTTCCTTTGCCTTCAGAGTCTTTCGTATGCTGTCTCTAGAGTGATCTCTCATGGCTTCTGCCCAACAGTCTGCTCCTCCAGCATGCCCATTCACACCCGCATGCCTTGCATCATATCCCTCATCTCTTTTCCTTGACTTTCTAATCCCACACATCCTTCAAGCCTAGTCTTTGTCTTCCCACCTCTATGAAACCCTCCCTGACCCACTATACTTTTCAACACAACTGCAAGCTCTTTAAGGCCCTGTAGGTATCATCCCATAAATACCTGTTAAAGGAACAGTGGAATCTGAGAGTGACAATGCCAAAATCAAGTATCTAGGAACAAAGACTGCCCATTCTCTGCAGCGCTCTGCCAGTGTTGCAATGCACTTGTTCTACTTATTGGCATCAAGGGGACTTCTATGGGCAACAGTTGTCTTTTTTAGGCTGTGTCATATAACAGAGTCTTGTCTGGAAACATATAACTGTTCATTAGAGCTATGCCGGGCAGTAGTCCACACATACATAGCAAAGATAGGCCATGTGGAAGGCTGTATTACAACTTCCCAAGTACTCACACATAGTGGGTATTCACTAAATACTTGTCAAGGCATTACTGGCCATATTCCTAGTAGAGAAGTTATTCAGCTGGATTTATGTAAAGCCTCATGGATTGTTACTACATTAACATAACCATGAAACTCCAAAGACCAGCTTCACATCACTACTGTCAGCATGTATCGTGCATGGTGTTGGCTACGGTTCCCAGAGATTCTTCAGTTGACATGAATCTCCTTGTTTGTTGGGAGTGACCTCTTGAAATGTCTATGCCTTGTCCTGAAAATATTTCAGCTAACTACTGGGTATGGTTCCAACCACTGAGATCTTAGAAAGACATTATATGAAATTATATAGTTTCTTTCTTTTCTTTCTTTTATACTGCTTGCCTGATAGGAAATAATGACTCAGTATAATCCAATGTCTATTTATAGATCTTAAACAAAGTTACATAGAAATGGTCCTTCACATGAGATGCTCTCTGATGTTTTCTATTTTGTTCCATTTTATTTAAAAAAATGGGATTGATCCACTAAGTATATTTCATGATTTACACAGCCCATTGTTTGAAAGACAATGATCTAGCAGGCAACAGCCTTTTTAATTTGCTGGGAGAATCAGAATGTTGCAGAGACTGAAGCTGATCCAGGAGTCACAAGAAGGCTCTGCATATGCTGAGCAATTTGGGGAGAAGGTGTTGGTAATGACTCTCTACTTGCAAAGAACAGTAAATAACTTGATCTAGCTTCACTAAAGAGAGAGAGAGAGAATAATTAGGATTCATGAGAAATGCATACACCTCAGAATCTCACAGAATGTTTTCTGTCTGTCTCTTATCTTGGCTGATCCCTTTTTCTGGCACAGCAGATAAAGGTGTCCAAGACAAATTGCTCCAAGTCTCATGCTGCAGTTTCTCAAACCAAATCCTAAAGTCTGAGAAACCAATATATTTGACCCAGCTTAGGCTGGGGTGCTAGCCCTGATTTAATCAGCTATCGACAAGGGACAAGGCGATGTAGTACCGACGTGGGCATAGGGGGCCACACCTATCCACACCTAGAGGTCTGTGGGTCTAGGGGAGCCAGCAGTTGGTGGAGGCCGGGTTATTTGTGATTTGAAAAGAAAGCTCCCCAGGTGCCTACTAGAGGGGCCAGGTTTATCCGAATTGGATGAGATCCCTGAGGTTTTGCTGCCTTAGCATTTTCACACAATGATCATATTTGTCAAGCAAATCACAGTTGACTGTGTGTTTGACAGAACCAGTATTGCTTTGAGGATAAATGGTGAAAATAGCAGCATAATAACATAAAATGAAGACTTTATTCACTTAATTGCCTGGAGATTAATTAGATGAATGAAATCTGTTTCATCATATTTTGGTGCCTTTTTCAACATTTATCTTAAACATACTACTGGGGTTATTATTGCTCTCACTTGTTTATTTATTCATCTACTGAACAGATATTTAATAAATGCGGAGCAAGGCCCAGTGCTAGGCACTGGTGCAAAACACAATTTAATCAGATCTAAGGACTGTCTTTAAGCATCATCCAATCAAGAAGGAGGAACACTTCAGGTGAACAGGTGACTGAAGGTGGAGTAAGACTGTATATGAATCCAGGCTCTGTCCCTTTCTTACTCTAGTTAGGCAATTTGACATCTCAAAATTGCCATTTCTTCATCTGAAGAAAAATGACACTGCCTATCTCAAAAGTTGGTTTAAGGATTAAGCAATATAACATATTAAATTGATAGCAAACATTTTGGTACATTAGGTGCTCAATAAATACAGTTGCACTTTAGATAATGTGAGCCCTATAAGAGTAAGCGTGATATAGTGTCAAGTGTTAATACATGCCTCTCTGTCTTCAAAATGTTTTGCATGCATTTATATAGTTCATTTTGTTTTCATAAAAATAATAAGGGCACTTTTATTATCTCCCTGTTGTGCCGATGAGCAAACTGAAGCATAGAGAGGTTAAGTAAATCACCTGTGATCCCACAGTTAGTAACTGATGTACCCAAGACTCTAACTCAGAGAGTCTGATTCCAGAATTTATGCTCTTAACTACCTAGAAACTACATGCAAAGGAGAGGCTATTTCAGTTAGAGTGTACTGAGGCTGTGTTCCGAGTTGTAATGAGTGACATTAAACTCTGATCACACATTCTTACCACCCAGGAGCATCTAAAAGTTACTGACTCCCGAACTATACTCCGAGCTAGAGGTTCTCAGAACATGAACCCTGACTATTGTTATCATAACATCTGTGCATTTGCTAAGACTGCAAAGTCTTGGACCCTATCCCAGACACCCCCCCGAGTCAGAAACTTTGAGGGTGGAGTTCCGCATCAGTGTTTAAGCAAGGAGATTCTTCATATGCTACTAAAATGTGAGAGGACTGTTACTCCTGGAGAATGAAGCCAGGATTCCTGTGAGTGGGGCCTGTACTTTGGTATTCAATGTCCTTATAAAGTTCCCCAAGGGATTATAATTGTCAGCCAGGGTCAGGAACTTTCATGGAAAGTAGGTATTGAGGTGAGCTATATAACCAAAGCATATGCAAAGTAGAACAGAATTATTCCACGTGGTGAGGCAGCCTGAGCAAAAACATAAAGAGGGAGAGTATTTGTGAATTGGAGAAATATATTGAGATAAGATCATTTTAAATGATAATATTTTATTTTTCCTACCATATATCACTTGTCACCCTAGTCTCTTAAACAGAAAGTACTGGTACCATTAGCACCCCACTTCCTGTTTTCTGTGCCTTTGCTCTCTGAGCACAGATGTCAGATACTGATGCTATAATACAGTAATGGCCTCCGGGCCATTGAGAAGTGTAGAGATTTATGGCGCAGGAGATTGGATTTTGAAATCCTAGGTCTGTTTTCCATAGGTTTTTTATTCCTTATGCTCTCTAGGTATCAGCTGTTCATTCTCACCATTTTAACTTCTACCTTTTTTTTTCTAACTTGCTGCTTCTTACCTATTGAGGACTGAAAAACCAGAAAACCAATCTTAGCATGCTATCTAAAATAAGAGTAAATAGACTATGAGTAAGAGCTTGCCAGAGAGACTGGATTATGTGATTTCCTCACTGCATGAATGTTTTAATGTCTGGTTGCCTATTTTTAGCTGATTTTCTGGGTCTTCTACTCTGGCTGGGGTAGCTCATGCAGGAGACAGCCTCCTGACTGGGCTTTCTGTGTGGAAGGGCTGAGGCCCAGGAGGATTAGTTTGCAAGGATTCTCAGCCTTCCTTCTTCTGGCTATTGGCAACAGACCTTTAAGGTTTCCCACTCTGATCACCAGGAGAATTTTGTTCTTGTCAGGCCAGATTTTGAATGTTTGTTACCAAACATTTATTGTTTGCAATGCAGGAAGAAGGAAGTGTAGATCAGATCTCTCAGGAGGGCCAGAGTGCCTGGAAGCGAACAGCTAGGACTGAGGCTAACACGCCTTCCCCAGGGACAGAATGGAGTAGGGAACAGCACTTTCTCAGTGGGAGGGCAGAGGAGGAGGATGGTGGAAGCAATCAGGTATGGTGAGATGGGGGAGATGGAAGATCATCAGGGGAGGACAACCTCTTAGAAGCTGTAGGTGGTGGGAAAGGGTCAAGAATGGAGATTTAGACCAGCATTACTATCCACTCTGTAGTCATGTTTTATCCAGAGTCACCAAGTCTCTGACATCACTCCAGGATGTGTTGTGACCATTATAGGTGCTGGCTACTAGAGACAACCATACAGCTGGGCTTGCCAGTGGCTTTATTCTGTGGGTCCCCATGGTGCAGCACAGACCCTCTTGAGAAAACGACTTTCCCAGTAATCACTCTGCGTGCTTCCCATGTGTTGTCTGCCATCCTGTGGTCACTGAGTTTCTGTCTCCCTTCCCTTCCCAGGTCGGTGGCTGGATTGGATAAGGAGGCGGACCTGGTGCACATGGAGGTGCGGACCACCGACGGATGTGAGTGCTGCCCCCTCCAGGCGAGGGCCGGGCAGCTCGGCCTGCAGCCCTCTCTCCTCCCCAATTTGCATTTTAACGGCTTGGGAAGATGAAAAGCCCTGAGCTCCAAGGCTGCCGGGATCCGTCCTTATTTCCCAGGGTGGGGAGAGGCCTCTCCTGAGGGATGTATTTCACTGAAATAAACCCCTCAGGGATGAATTTTCAGAGGATGTGAGTTAATGTGATGAATTTTGAGGCTACTGTTAGTAATTTTCTGCCATCCTCAATGTAATCTGAATAGGGTGTCCATAGCTCATCATAGTATTTTGCATTCACCGGATGGAGTGCAGGAGTTGCCAGCTTTGGAAAACAAATCTGTCCTATAGTCAAGCTTACCCAGAAAAGTAACTAGGCAGCTATTAGCAACATTTTTATTTACTCATTCCACAAATATTTAAGCATGGCCTACCATGTACCAGGCTTTGTTGTAGACCTGGAGATACAGTGGAATGTAAGACCTATATTGTCCCTGAAAATAAGCAATGAAACTCCAAGGTTTCAAACACATGACCCCTTGGGACCTTGTGCATCTATGTACATCTTACCCGGATTGGACTGATAAAATATCATTTTGCACCACTTTAAGCATTTTATTCTTCCCAGAGTTGAACATATTAATAGGGCTCCTTCCTGTACAAGAGAAATAAAACCGGCTTAAACAAAAATATGTAAAATAGGTGAAAATATATTTTATTTATGAAATATATAAAATACGTGAAATAGAATTAGCATATCATAGGTCAAAAATAGAGCCAACTAATCTATGGAAACAGCGCTGACCTAGGAATGGAGCTGAACAGGCACCTGCTGGCAAGTTGGGGTCCTGGGCTCTACCACCCATTAGCAGTGACTCCAAGGGAAACCCCTGTCCCCTCCCAACTCTCTGTGCTCTGGCTTCCTGTTGTGTGAGATTACTCGTCCCTGCCCTGCCCACAGCACAGGGCTGTGGGTTGGCCAAATGCAGGGGAATGTTATAGGGATTATAAAACGTTGTACAAATTCGAGGAGAGTCTGTTTTGATCAGGCTGTGGTGCCGGCATGTCATTCAGAATACATAAAGTAAGACTGCATGTGTTTTGTCCAAACATGTGTTTTTTGAGACCAAACACAGATGCATGCCAGAAACATGCATTTGGGGTAATATATTTTATTGGCTTTGTTTTTATTTTTAAAGAGTTAGAAAGCAATCATCATTAGTATATGTCTGGCATTCCGCCAAGTACTTTATTTTTTTCTCTCTTTCCCTGAAGCAGGCAAGGATAAGGAATGACCCACACTCTTTAACAATTTTTGTTTCTTATTTGTCCTTTTTATTGAATCTATTGGGGTGACACTGGTTAACAAAATTATTCAGGTTTCAGGTGCGTAATTCTACAACACATCATCTGTACGCTGTATTGTGTGTTCACCACCCCAAGTAAAGTCTCCTTCCATCACTGTCTCCACCCCCATGCCCTTTTTCATCTCCCCCCATGTCCGCCCTGCAATCACCACCATTGTTCCTGTTTGTGAGTCCTTTCTTTTTTCATCTTTGCTCTATCCCTCCACACTCCCCAGCTACTTCCTCCCTACCTAACAGCTGTCAGCCTGCTCTGTACCTGAGTCTCTCTCTCTCTCTCTTTTGTGTTTTTAAATAAAAGGACTATTTAAGTTTTAGGGATGGAATGGATAACACCACATACTCAAATTCATTGATCATAAGGGTGGCAGAACCCTTAGGGGTTCTGGATTCAAAATTATGTTATCTGACTATTATTGCTGAAAAAAACTGGGCAGGGGGAGAGAGTTAGATATAGGGGTTTGAAGGAACATAGCAGGGCAGCCAGCGGAATACAGGCAATAACTCTCAGAAGATGACGCACAGGCCAGTTTTCCAGCCAACCCCTGCCTCGGCTGTGCTTCCCACGTCAACCTTTTAAAGCCATATAGGTGACCTCTGGTAGGTGACACAGTTCAGACTGGAGGAAACTTTATAGGACTGTCTGATCTCCTACTTAGTATAGTAACACCTTCCCCAAAACCCCCACTGTGTGTTCTCAGATCCCATGAGGTCAAGCTTAAGACATACCCTAGGCTATTGACGGACAGCTTCTATTTGTTGTTGTTGTTTCTTTGTTTTGCTTCTTTTTTAAAGGTAATTTCTTACATTAAGCTTAGACTTATTTTCTGAAAGTTTAAGAATACCAGTCCAAATTTGGATAAGACCTATGGTGCAGGAGTGCTGTGAAATTTTATGAGATTAAAAATGCAAAGCACATAGAAGATTTTCTGGCTTGTTATCAAGAATTGAAAACAAGTAGACAGAAATATAACAGAGATAAATGTCATGTGCCATACTAAGGTTAAATGACAGCACATACTCATTCTGTTCCATTTGGTTTTTAAAAACAGTTTCTCAATAGTTAAAAGAATCTTCTCTAACCTAGTCAGTTGGCTCTAACCCACCTTTATCTAGAAAGTGCACGTCATCCCTGCTTTAGCCTGGTATTGTATTTTGTGTAACCTAACGAAAGGCATGACACTTTTCTTTTGCTTTCTTACACTCACTCATACCCACACATTTTTATCTAAATGATCAATACAAAAAAAGCACAAAGTGTATTTCTTTTTTCTTTCTCTGATGTGATAGCTTAGTCTCAAAATTTCCCAGACTCACACAGCCACCCTAGTTACAGAGTAAGAACTAGAACCCAGAACTCTCAATATGCTACAGATAGAAGGAAATTTCTGAAGACTTACAAGTAGCATCATATTTAACAATGAGATACTCAATGCTAACCCCTAAGTGCAGGAAAAAAGCAGGGGTACTTAGTCTTATCTTATTGCTCCTCTTCAACATCATGCTGAAAGTCTGAGCCAGCGCAGTAAAGGTAGAAAAGTGAAATGTAATTGATACAGATCACAAAGAAAAAAAATAAAACTGTTGCTACTCTCACTGACATGGTTTTCCATGTAGAATGTAACAAGGAATCTACCAGAGCAGCACCTGGAACAAATAAGTTGATTGAGCAAGGTTTCAGGATACAACATATTTAGAGAAGAAAGAATATTTTTTTAACAAATGGTCTTAGAAAAATGGACAATCATATGGAGGAAGTGAACATCAACCTATGATTCATAATTTATACAAAATTTAATTTAAAATGGAACATATTCTAAATGTAAAATATAAAATTGCAAAACTTTTAGGAAAAACTATAAGAAAAAATCTTTATGACCCTTGATTGACATCAAAACCAAAATTGACAAAATAAAGAATTGGTAACTTGGACTGCATCAGAATTAAAAACTTTCGCTATTCAGAAGACATAGTAAAGACAGGAAAAAATATTTGCAAATGATATATGCAACAAAGTACTCATAACCAGAACATATAAAGACATTAAAAAATATAGCAATAAGTAACAACCCAATTTTTAAAAAATGGGAAAATTCTGAAAAGGCTATTTATACCAAAGAATATATGATGATGACAATTACATGAAATGATGCTTCACAATATTAGACATTAGGGAAATACTAATTAAAGCCATAATGCAAGATCATTATATACCTATTAGCATTGCTAAAATAAGCAAAGCTGATAATACTAAGTGCTGACAAGGATATGAAGCAAGTGAAACTGTCGTACATTGCTGGTGGGCATGCAAGATGGTACAGTTGCTGTAGAAAAATATTTGACAGCCTTATAAGTTACACACACCTTAGGATTCAGCATATTTACCCTAAAGAAATGAAAGTTATATTCACACAAAAGTGTACACGCAAATGTCTGTAGCAGAGTTATTAATAATCACACCAAACTGGAAACAACCTAAAAGTGGAATGAATGAATGATAAACAAGCTGGGGGTATACTTCATTAAATAGAATACTATTTAGCACCTTTCAATACCTGCAACAACATGGATGAATTTTGAAGGCATTGTGTTGAGTGACAATAGCTACTCTCAGAAGGGTACGTTATATGATTTCATTTACATGATATTATAGGAAAAGAAAAACTATAGAGAGGCAGACTCCATCAGTACTTGTCAGAGTGGGGGAAGTAGTTGACAAAGAAGATCAGAATTAGGAAATTTCTGAGGGTAATGTAACTTTTCTATACCCTGATCATGGTGGTAGTTACATTAATCTATACGTCTGCTAAAACTTTAGAGCTGTTTGCAAAAAAAAATGTGCTATATATAAATTGAAAAAATAACTTTTAAGCTACTCCTAAAATCAAATATTTGGTAAGAAAAACTATAATGTGCAGTTCTTGGCTTCTCGTTTTATAGAACTTCCTACCTTTCTTCATTATTAATTAATCCAGTTAGTTTTTTTATCCAACCAATATTTATTTAAAATCTACATATGCTGATACTGAGGGGACATGCAGGTGAAGGTGCTACCATCTCTACCCTCGATGAGCTTCTAGCTTGTTGGGGAGATAGTTATTCAGATGATTCTAGCAGAGATCTCAGCTCTGCCGCTCCCTACAATGGTGGGATTCAGGCAAATTACTTCGTTGTTCTGGCTTCAGTTTCCTCATCTATAAAATGGGGGTGATAATAATTATAACTCCATATTGGGATGTTGGATCAATTTTACAATCTTGCAATAGTCAGTTAATGCATGTATTTCCTGTAAAACCAGAGAACACAGAGTGAGCATTATAAAAATGTTATTGTTGTCATCATCATCACCATCACCATCATCATCATCATCTAGTCATCATATTCAAGATCAGTTTATTTAAACAAGTAGAGTGGAAAGAGCCCTCTATAGAGTATCAGGAGTCCTACGATTGTCAAGGTTCCTATGATTTCTATATTTTATCACTGTCAGCCACCACTGCACCTGAACCATGAGAAGGCACAGACACTAGAATTCTCCTATGGGTAATTAGAAGTTTTACAAAGACTTTAAATCCATTGACACAATAGGAAGGAATAGAAGTTACTTTCTTTCTTTCTTTTT